CCCCCAAGCTCAGCATCCAGGGCAGGCTCTGGTCACCACACCAGCCAAATCCCCCTACCAAGGGGATAATGGCCAGCATACACTGAGGAAAGAGGTGGCAAACATTCATACTGAAAACAGCCCTCTCACCAAGCAGCACACACACACACACACACACACACGTAAAAAGTAGCCCTCTAAGGCTGTCTGAGTGTCTCAAATTGGGTGGAAGAACTGCCAACATTTAGTCTGGAAGGCCAGCAGGGCTTAGGTAAAGGAGCTCCAGAGGGCTTGGGGGAACAGAGACTCCACTCTTGAAGGGGACACAAGATTTTACATTCACTGGGACCTAGCAGAAAGCAATACCTCCATAGGAACCTACCCAGAGGTCTTGGAGGATCTCCTGGAGAGACAGGGATCGACCATAGCTCACTGTGGTGACAAGGACATTGTTAGCGGAGGCATCAGGGAATGTTAATTGGTGTGAGCTCTCTCAAGGATCCCCATTTTGGAACCACTCAACAACCTGCAGTTTCCAGTTTTGGAATGCCTCCAGTCAATCAATCAGCAAGACAGGAACACAGCCCTACCCATCAGCAGACAGGCTGCCTAAAGTCGTACTAAGCTTACAGCCATCCCCAACACATTCCCTGACACAGCCCTGCCCACTAGAAGGACAAGACCCAACTCCACCCACCACAAGGCAACATTCTCTTCCACCAGGAAGCCTGCACAAGCCCCTGAATGGACCTCACCCACCAGGGGACATACACCAGACGCAAGAGGGAACTACGATTCTGCAGCCTGTGGAAAGGAGACCATAAATACAGTAAGTTAGACAAAACGAGTCAACAGAGAAATATGTCTCTGTTGCAGACAAAGGAACAAGATAAAAACGTACAGGAACAACTAAATGAAGAGGATATAGTCTACCTGAAAAAGCATCAAAATAATAATGATAATAAAGTAAAATGGCTGTCTGAGGAGGCCTTACAAATAGCTATGAAAAGACGGGAAGAGAAAAAGCAAAGGTGAAAAGGAAAGATATACCCATTTGAATGCAGAGTTCCAAAGAAAAGCAAGGAGAGATAAGAAAGCTTTCCTCCACGTTCAATGCAAAGAAATAGAGGAAAACAACAGAATGGGAAAGACTAGACATCTCTTCAAGAAAATTAGAGATACCAAGGGAACATTTCATGCAAAGATGGGCTCAACAAAGGACAGAAATGGTAGCGACATAAGAGAAGCAGAAGATATTAAGAAGAGGTGGCAAGAATACACAGAAGAACTGTACAAAAACGTCACGACCCAGATAATCAAAATGGTGTGATTACTCACCTAGAGCCAGACATCCTGGAATGTGAAGTCAGGTGGGCCTTAGAAAGCATCACTACGAACAAAGCTAGTGGAGGTGATGGAATTCCAGTTGAGCTATTTCAAATCCTGAAAGATGACGCTGTGAAAGTGCTGCACCCAATATGCCAGAAAATTTGGAAAACTCAGCAGTGGCCACAGGACTGGAAAAGGTCAGTTTTCATTCCAATCTCAAAGAAAGGCAATGCCAAAGAATGCTCAAACTACTGCACAGTTGCACTCATCTCACATGCTAGTAAAGTAATGCTCAAAATTCCCCAAGCCAGGTTTCAGCAATACGTGAACCATGAACTTCCAGATGTTCAAGCTGGTTTTAGAAAAGGCAGAGGAACCAGAGATCAAATTGCCAACATCCACTGGATCATCGAAAAAGCAAGAGAGTTCCAGAAAAACATCTATTTCTGCTTTATTGACTATGCCAAAGCCTTTGACTGTGTGGATCACAATAAACTGTGGAAAATTCTGAAAGAGATGGGAATACCAGACCACCTGACCTGCCTCTTGAGAAACCTCTATGCAGGTCAGGAAGCAACAGTTAGAACTGGACATCGAACAGACTGGTTCCAAATAGGAAAAGGAGTACATCAAAGCTGTATATTGTCACCCTGCTTATTTCACTTATATGCAGAGTACATCGTGAGAAATGCTAGGCTGGAAGAAGCACAAGCTGGAATCAAGATTGCCAGGAGAAATATCAATAACCTCAGATATACAGATGACACCACCCTTATGGCAGAAAGTGAAGAGGAACTAAAAAGCCTCTTAATGAAAGTGAAAGAGGAGAGTGAAAAAATTGGCTTAAAGCTCAACATTCAGAAAACTAAGATCATAGCATCCGGTCCTATCACTTCATGGCAGATAGATGTGGAAACAGTGTCAGACTTTATTTTTTTGAGCTCCAAAATCACTGCAGATGGTGATTGCAGCCATGAAATTAAAAGACGCTTGCTCCTTGGAAGGAAGATTATGACCAACGTAGATAGCATATTAAAAAGTAGAGAGATTACTTTGCCAACAAAGGTCTGTCTAGTCAAGGCTATGGCTTTTCCAGTGGTCATGTATGGATGTGAGAGTTGGACTATAAAGAAAGCTGAGTGCCAAAAAATTGATGCTTTTGTACTATGGTGTTGGAGAAGACTCTTGAGAGTCCCTTGGACTACAAGGAGATCCAACCAGTCCATCCTAAAGGAGATCAGTCCTGGGTGTTCATTGGAGGTACTGAGGTTGAGGCTGAAACTCCAATAGTTTGGCCACCTGATGCGAAGAGCTGACTCATTGGAAAAGACCCTGATGCTGGGAAAGATTGAAGGCAAGAGGAGAAGGGGACAACAGAGGATGAGATGGTTGGATGGCATAACCAACTTGATGGACATGGGTTTGGGTGGACTCTGGGAGTTGGTGATGGACAGGGAGGCCTGGCGTGCTGTGGTTCATGGGGTCGCAAAGAGTCTGACATAACTGAGCTACTGAACTGAACTGAATTGAAAGATCCAAAATCTTGGAAAAAGAGTGGAGACACAGGCCAGCAAGGTACAAGAAATGTTTAACAAAAAGATAGAAGATTTAAAGAACAAACAATGCAATAACTGAAATGTGAAATACACTAGAAGGAATCAGTAGTAGAACAACTGAGACATAAGCGCAAAGAAGTGAGCTGCAAGACAGAGTGGTGGAAATCACTGCTGCAGAACAGAATAAAGGAAAAGAATGAATAGAAATGGGGACAGTCTAAGAGACCTCTGGGACAACATTAAACACACCAACATTTGCATTGTAGGGGTCCCAGGAGACAAAGAGCCTAAGAAAATATTTGAAGAAGTTTATAACATGGGAAAGGAAATAGTCACATCCAAGAAATTCAGAGTCCCACACAGTATAAACCCATGGGGAAACATGCCAAGACACATATTGATCAAATTAACAAAAATTAAATACAAAGAAAAAATACTTAAAGCAGTAAATAACATACAAGGTAATACCTGTAAGGTTATAAGCTGATTTTTCAGCAGAACCTCTGCAGGCCAGAAGAGAGTGGCATGCTTATTTAAAGTGATGAGAGGGAAAAACCTACAACCTAGAATAGTCTACCCAGCAAGGTATTCATTCAGATTGTACAGAGAAATCAAAAGCTTTACAGACAAGCAAAATCTAAGAGAATTCATCACCACCAAACAGCTTTACAACAAATGCTGAAGAAACTTCTCTAGGAAAGGTGAAAAGAAAACAAAACTAGAGACCACAGCTATAATAGAAACAAGAAAATTAAAAATGGAAAAGCTCATTTGCCTAGTAAAGGCAAACATACAGTAAATGTGGGAAATCATCCACATACAAATATGATATGGTACAGATAGATAATGGAATATTACTCAGCCATAAAAAAGGAAAAAATAACATGGACCTGGAGATTGTCATACTGAGTGAAGTAAGTCAGAGAGAAAAAGACACATATGATACTACTAATATGTGGAATCCTTAAAAAAATGACACAGATGAACTTACTTACAAAACAGAAATAAAGTCACAGATATAGAAAACAAACTTATGGTTTACTAGGGGGAAGCAGAAGCAGAGAGGAGGGATGAATTGGGAGACTGGGATTGGCGTATAAAACACATCACTAGTAAGGACCTACTGTCCAGCACAAGGAACTGTTCTCAGTACTCCACAGTGACCAATTAGAAAAGAGTCTGAAAGAGTCAAGTTATGAATATGTAACCACTGATGCATTTTTCTGTTCAGCAGAAGCTAACACAGCATTATAGATCAACTAAATTTTTTAAAACATTTTTAAAAAATGAAACATTAGCCAGAGCTCTTCCTATAAAAAGCATCTATCAAAAAGATAATGCTAAGAGATGTAAGAGATGATCTGCAAGGTCTTTTCGGCTTTATCATGAGAATTTGATATGTGATAAAGCTCAATTATATTTTTAATAAATTAAAAGTTGGAAATTTTTGTTAAAAATGTTTTTAAAAAGAGGAGAAAATTATTAAATAAATAATAATAAAACAGAAACAAAAGATTTTTCTTTCCATGCCATGTTATTACTTAGCATTCCAAAAGTAAAACGTAATTACCAACTAAACCTTGCTCGTTAGAAACAGAAACGGAATCAGCCCTGGAATGGTTAGTTGAGCATCTTACTTGTTTTAGCCCAATGTTGGGTTCCTTAAAAGAAGTGTTCACAATTTATGCCTACCTTCAAAGTTTTCTGGGGGTAGAATCAATTTAATTTGGAGGGCTTAAAGGTACAAATTTTCTATATTCTATTTTGTCAAGGAGAGGAAAGAACTTTTCTTATGACAGTTAAAAGGAGCAAAATAAAGCAATCTACTTTCTTGGGCATTTTTACCCTAAATGCAAATCATCAGGACTTTAACCATCAGGTTTACCAATCAAATCTCCAATTAGTCTGTTATTGCACACACCCACGTTTTTAAAAACAAGATATTGTGGACCACTGGTGTTTATAAAACCAAAACAACCCACCGAGCTTCCTATCTGCCATTGTTGCATTTCAGAGGGGAAGAGAGCTTACTTCTAAAGCTTGGGGATTCCTATAATCTCTCATATATTATTCATGATAGACTCTTGCATTTTTTTTTATTGAATGCCCAAATTATTTCCTTTATTGTACATGCAGGGACAGTGGCAGAATTTCGAAAAGATGCGTCCACGTCTCCTATGACAACAGGGAGCCAGAAGGAGCTTGTGATCCCAGCTACGTCATCCTCCCAACATGACAGCTCCCGGTGAGTTTTCGGGGTTCTTTGCTTTACCATTCTCCAGATGAGAACTTCTGCTGAGTTATTTAACAAAAAGTGAAAAATTTTAACAGTTCTTAATGTCTCCAACTCAAGAGAGAGGCCCTTATTTGGAAGCGTCTAGATACGACCAGGTAGAACTCCTGGAGCCCTTTCCTTTATCCATGCTTGTCCTTAATTGGTAATGGTAATTGACAGGGTTTCCATGGAAACACAAAGCTAATCTTACCTTTCATCAGAAAATGTTTAGGAGCAGGTCCTACCCAATTTATCCTGAAATTGTTATATACTTGGACTATAAGCTTAACTTACTGAATCAATTGATACTGAAAACCATAGTGGGTTTTGTACTACAGTTAAATGACTGTCAACATTTACTTATACCAGAGACATTTGAGGAGCTAATACTTTGATTGGCCTTTTCTACAGTCAAGAAAAGAAATATGTTATTAAAATATGTATTAAATATTTATTAAATATGTATTTAATATGTATTAAAATTTCTCATGTCTAGTAAGCCAACTCCTATATTATACATTTAAGGCTGAATATATAAACATTAACACGAAAAGGGCATGTTTGTGTTTCCTTGGGGATATGATTTTTTAAGCACTTAAATTCCTAGCATCTTATCCAGTAAATATGGATTTTTAAGACTTAATTTAAAAGAACTTTTGGGAAATGACTCAGCACAGAGGATAATAGTAATGGAAGAGTTAAGGTAAAGAGGAAAGGCAATCTGGGTTTTCAAATGAATTTTCCTATCTTTGATGCTAAGATCTTGGATCAGATCTTAAACACTACTCTAATGTGTTTTTGATGATTGCACTTCAATTTCGTGAGAGGCATGAAAAAGAAGAATAAAATGTTTCCCCAGTAAGGGTTTTATAGAACATCTTCAGCACACATTTTCTGAAATGACCATATCAATTTTGTGGAGTTTTACAAGCCCAGGTTAAAATCGCGGTGAAGACTCGTATCTACAGACCTTTAAAAAAGGATTCTTTCTCTGTTAGTTCTTAATGCTGCGGATGAGCTAGATACAGATTCTCAGAAGCTTCTTAAATAATGAGCATTTGGCTAAATGAAACAATGTGCAGCACCCCAGATTTTATCCTTAAAAGTGCGTGATGGCATATTATAGGTCTGCAATACAAAGTGCAGAGTTGAAAAAAAAGATCCAGTACTATGAAAATCAGTTACCAAGAAAGCACAGTGGTTGCTTTCCAGACTTCAGAATCAAGATTATTTGAATTATTTTTATTTCAAAGTGTAGAAAAGGAATTTTTATAGACTACTTTTACATATAAGCTTTTAATGCAAAAGGAAAGCCTGTTATTCTTCATTCCAAGAAACCTTTGACAGTACTGAGAAGAACAAGAATAAAAGCCCTTTCCCTGTCTACCCAAAATTCCAAGAATTGTCAAGACCTGCAGAAAAGGATGGGGATGGAACAGGGGCCATGGGAGACCGTTTTTCCTTTGTTCTCTGTAAAGTGCTAACACCTAGGAGAGTCCCATATGGGTCCATGTGCAGGTGATAAAACCCAGCGTGGCAAAATCATCTTTCTCATTCACAGTGTAGGTTGTTAATTGTTCTCTCTGCTGCCTGTCAGTATAATGTGAAATTTTCATTCCCCATTCAAGATGGGGAAAGTTGTGGCTGAAAATGTTAACATTTGCATTTTTATTTGTTGATTTATTTAAAGGACAGCCTCTCCTACAGCAATCCATCACTTGGTGACACCCCAAATATGAATAATGTATTGTAGACTTGCGGTTACAATGTGTAATAAGTGCTAGAGACAGTAAAGGAATGTTAACTATGTTGCAAATGTAATATTTATTGACGCATAAAGTTTATTGCTTTCGAGGTTCAATAATACTGACCATAGGACATTAATATCACTTATCCTGATTTTAGCAGGGCACCTTTGTGTGTGAAAATATTCATCTATCTCATGCTAACAAAATAAATATGTAATTTACAGCACAAGCAAAGAGGGCTTTATAGTTTTCTGTGCTGAGAGTGGCAATGCTTCTGTCTTTCTGTTTTACATTTGGTCTCCAACGCTGATCACACACCCCTGAGGTGTCCAAGAAAGTGGGCATCTTGGCATAAGAAGGTGACACCACTGAACTAAACAGTGCCATGCATTTCTGCTGGACTGGAACAGGCAACACCCCTAGATCATTACACCTGAAGAGAGGACTGGAGGGACTTTTCTCCCGGTCATTCTGAATACCAGTGGGTAGGTGCACCTTTGCTCACAAAGAAAGTTGAATAAATACTTTTCCTGACACGACTCTGAGTCAGAGTTTACCCAATTCTGCTTGATCTTCTGGTCTCCAGTGAGGAGCCAGAGCTGGGCAAGTTACCAGTGAATTTGTTATAAGCAGAAATGTTTCTGATAATTAACCCTTTTGGGCCTTCTAGAATTAGTTGTGTCCGTTGCCAGCATAAAGATCATATAAGAAATATCTGAGATCCAGAGCAGAAGTAATGTTAATTAGCAACCGTCAGCTGTAATTGTCATCCCCATTAAGATGCAGAATTATGTATTTCTTCGTTATAAATAACCTTTCTAATTGTACTTGATGTATGCCAATTTAATCAAAAAGCATACTTGCAACAGGCAGATATTTGCATTAATGTAACTTTGAATCTTCAAATCTTTTATTTCAGATTTGAGGAGAAAAGTCTATTACATGCTGTATATTTTTTAGATGTTGGTATCTTTTTCTATTCAGATATGTATATCTGGAACATTTTATATTAAAATGAAGACAATATCTTGTGAAGCTATTCACTGAAACATAAGTCTTGTCACTTTTTAAAGTATTGGTGGAGTTTCCGTCAGTCTTATGACAACTCAGTGATGATTGTTTTAAACTGATAAATAAAGACAAACACCAGGCCTGCAGCAGAGTGTTAGTCACTCAGTCCCTGAAGTAAAAGGTTACTAAGGCCCCTTCTTGCTGTTCTTCCCTGACTCAGAAGAGCTAAGGCCAGTACTCTTGAACTCCACCCCCCCACCCCTGAGATGTGAAGAGAGAAAGACAGATCTCACCAAATAATGGCCAATTAGTGAATTTTTGGAACTGGAGCTGTGGTTAGCCTATTTCTAGGATGTACTGTTCACCCCAGTAATCTATGTTTTTTTTTCAGAAAGATTAGTTTATATCACAACAGCAAGTTGAAGTTTTCTGTTTTACTTTGTTTGGTTTGTTTTTTGATGTATGTCATGGGAGATGATTTTGTAGAGCTTATTTTTCGTTGAGGGAGGTTGGGAAATATTTGTGTATGTGCTATAAAGGACTTAATTGCTTATTGGGGAAACTTTTTAAAAAAATAATAAGCTGAATTTTTTTTTTTTTTGAGGCCCTGGCCCTTTGCTGTAACCATATGCCTAATGTGTTCCAAAAAATTTGCTGTAACTTTCCACCTTGCCGAGCTTTTTCTAGAGCAACTGCCGGGACACAGTTGTGCTCACAGGCTACTGTTCACACGCAGCTGACTTGAAAGTCAATTGTGGAGACTAATCTACTGAAGTTGAGATCGAGGGACCCAGGCGTTGCTTCTTAACTATTTGGATGACTTTTACTTCTTTTTTTCTTTTTTCTGATCCCCAATTTCAGTGTTTTTTCATTCATTCACACTGTGTGAAGCTTGGATTTAGTTCTGAGGTATACGCACTAAGCCCATAAAACTCTGATTTAGATTAAGAATCTGACAGACTGACTTTAAGGGTCAGAATTTGTTTTTATAACTTGATAGGAAGTTAATCTAAGAGAAGGGAAAGGATTGTGTTTCCATTGCACACAATGGCCAGATTGCAACACTTTCTTGCACTTGTGCCCAGAATCCTATCACGAAATCTTTTTTTTTAAATCAGAACTTTTCCTCACCTAGACATTCACACATATATTTTTAGTACCTAACAAGATCCCCTCATGTGCCTAGCGCATAACAGTGTGTTATTCTGCCAAGGTGGAGAGAGAAGAACTAAACTAAAATCCATAACCTCAGACTAGAGCCTTGCAGGCACTGCTTGGCTCTATGTGGTCTGTTTGAACAGCAGACCTCACTGCCTCTATACAGTAGAACATATGAGTGGTGACCGTATGTGACGATATTGGCTTCTGTTCACTGGATGCCTGTTGTGTATCGGTGTTGTGTTGGGCATGTTCAGATATGTCCTTTCACAATATATGTTCATACAAATTATGTGTCATTGTAAAGCTCTTTTTAATGACTATTAAAACCCATTTTCAAAGTATTGGATTTCTCTTAGAATTTTCAAAATGATTTCCAAAAGTGTGAACTTCTAGGCCAAGGACTGTTATTTTAACTTTGTCTACCCTCAGAATAACACTTTCACAGTACGCATAAAGCACCATTCACTATAACATTTTCATTTTGTGCATATTGTAAATAACAAAATAAAAACAAAACTTAACGAACTCCAGGAGATAGTGAAGGACAAGGAAGCCTGGCATGCTGCTGTCCATGGGGTTGCAAAGAGTCAGACACAACTTAGCAACTGAACAACAAAATGAAATACTGCACAAAATGATGACAGATAAAAAGGGATAATATGGAAACTTTAGAAAAGAATTGGTTGAATATGTAAAAGAAAATATGAAGTTATAAATATATCTATCTTCCATATCAGGAGATGAAAAGCTCAGCCATTCAAAAGGATTTTTATTTAAGCCAAGTTGATAAATTGAAATTCCCTGCTAGCAGGTGCATTAATACCAAGAACAGTTGCATGCATGGAAATTTTTGTGTGTTTGATGAAGAGATGTTGCTTTTAATTAAGCCATGATTTGGGGCTGTTACTATAATTCCCACTGTTAAAAGCCATTAATATAATCATCCATTCCTCTTGTACACACTGCTTATAGAGTGTGTAAATTAAGAAAACAGAAACAAATAGGCTAAATAGAAATAATAAAGACATAGTTTAATTCCAAGAAATGAAT